GAAGTAGTGTTAGTGTTGTGGTGGTGGTGATAATGGTAGTTGAAGTAGTGGTTAGTGTTGTGGTGGTGGTGATAATGGTAGTTGAAGTTGGTTAGTGTTGTGGTGGTGGTGATAATGGTAGTTGAAGTAGTGGTTAGTGTTGTGGTGGTGGTGATAATGGTAGTTGAGGTGGTTATGTTGTGTGGTGTGATATGTAGTTGAGTAGTGGTTAGTGTTGTGGTGGTGGTGATAATGGTAGTTGAAGCAGTGGTTAGTGTTGTGGTGGTGGTGATAATGGTAGTTGAAGCAGTGGTTAGTGTTGTGGTGGTGGTGATAATGGTAGTTGAAGTAGTGTTAGTGTTGTGGTGGTGGTGATAATGGTAGTTGAAGTAGTGGTTAGTGTTGTGGTGGTGGTGATAATGGTAGTTGAAGTAGTGGTTAGTGTTGTGGTGGTGGTGATAATGGTAGTTGAAGCAGTGGTTAGTGTTGTGGTGGTGGTGATAATGGTAGTTGAAGTAGTGGTTAGTGTTGTGGTGGTGGTGATAATGGTAGTTGAAGTAGTGGTTAGTGTTGTGGTGGTGGTGATAATGGTAGTTGAAGTAGTGGTTAGTGTTGTGGTGGTGGTGATAATGGTAGTTGAAGTAGTGGTTAGTGTTGTGGTGGTGGTGATAATGGTAGTTGAAGCAGTGGTTAGTGTTGTGGTGGTGGTGATAATGGTAGTTGAAGTAGTGGTTAGTGTTGTGGTGGTGGTGATAATGGTAGTTGAAGTAGTGGTTAGTGTTGTGGTGGTGGTGATAATGGTAGTTGAAGTAGTGGTTAGTGTTGTGTGGTGGTGATAATGGTAGTTGAAGTAGTGGTTAGTGTTGTGGTGGTGGTGATAATGGTAGTTGAAGTAGTGGTTAGTGTTGTGGTGGTGGTGATAATGGTAGTTGAAGTAGTGGTTAGTGTTGTGGTGGTGGTGATAATGGTAGTTGAAGTAGTGGTTAGTGTTGTGGTGGTGGTGATAATGGTAGTTGAAGTAGTGGTTAGTGTTGTGGTGGTGGTGATAATGGTAGTTGAAGCAGTGGTTAGTGTTGTGGTGGTGGTGATAATGGTAGTTGAAGTAGTGGTTAGTGTTGTGGTGGTGGTGATAATGGTAGTTGAAGTAGTGGTTAGTGTTGTGGTGGTGGTGATAATGGTAGTTGAAGTAGTGGTTAGTGTTGTGGTGGTGGTGATAATGGTAGTTGAAGTAGTGGTTAGTGTTGTGGTGGTGGTGATAATGGTAGTTGAAGCAGTGGTTAGTGTTGTGGTGGTGGTGATAATGGTAGTTGAAGTAGTGGTTAGTGTTGTGGTGGTGGTGATAATGGTAGTTGAAGTAGTGGTTAGTGTTGTGGTGTGGTGATAATGGTAGTTGAAGCAGTGGTTAGTGTTGTGGTGGTGGTGATAATGGTAGTTGAAGTAGTGGTTAGTGTTGTGGTGGTGGTGATAATGGTAGTTGAAGCAGTGGTTAGTGTTGTGGTGGTGGTGATAATGGTAGTTGAAGCAGTGGTTAGTGTTGTGGTGGTGGTGATAATGGTAGTTGAAGTAGTGGTTAGTGTTGTGGTGGTGGTGATAATGGTAGTTGAAGTAGTGGTTAGTGTTGTGGTGGTGGTGATAATGGTAGTTGAAGCAGTGGTTAGTGTTGTGGTGGTGGTGATAATGGTAGTTGAAGCAGTGGTTAGTGTTGTGGTGGTGGTGATAATGGTAGTTGAAGCAGTGGTTAGTGTTGTGGTGGTGGTGATAATGGTAGTTGAAGCAGTGGTTAGTGTTGTGGTGGTGGTGATAATGGTAGTTGAAGTAGTGGTTAGTGTTGTGGTGGTGGTGATAATGGTAGTTGAAGCAGTGGTTAGTGTTGTGGTGGTGGTGATAATGGTAGTTGAAGCAGTGTTAGTGTTGTGGTGGTGGTGATAATGGTAGTTGAAGTAGTGGTTAGTGTTGTGGTGGTGGTGATAATGGTAGTTGAAGCAGTGGTTAGTGTTGTGGTGGTGGTGATAATGGTAGTTGAAGTAGTGGTTAGTGTTGTGGTGGTGGTGATAATGGTAGTTGAAGAGTGGTTAGTGTTGTGGTGGTGGTGATAATGGTAGTTGAAGCAGTGGTTAGTGTTGTGGTGGTGGTGATAATGGTAGTTGAAGTAGTGGTTAGTGTTGTGGTGGTGGTGATAATGGTAGTTGAAGTAGTGGTTAGTGTTGTGGTGGTGGTGATAATGGTAGTTGAAGTAGTGGTTAGTGTTGTGGTGGTGGTGATAATGGTAGTTGAAGTAGTGGTTAGTGTTGTGGTGGTGGTGATAATGGTAGTTGAAGTAGTGGTTAGTGTTGTGGTGGTGGTGATAATGGTAGTTGAAGTAGTGGTTAGTGTTGTGGTGGTGGTGATAATGGTAGTTGAAGTAGTGGTTAGTGTTGTGGTGGTGGTGATAATGGTAGTTGAAGTAGTGGTTAGTGTTGTGGTGGTGGTGATAATGGTAGTTGAAGTAGTGGTTAGTGTTGTGGTGGTGGTGATAATGGTAGTTGAAGAGTGGTTAGTGTTGTGGTGGTGGTGATAATGGTAGTTGAAGTAGTGGTTAGTGTTGTGGTGGTGGTGATAATGGTAGTTGAAGTAGTGGTTAGTGTTGTGGTGGTGGTGATAATGGTAGTTGAAGTAGTGGTTAGTGTTGTGGTGGTGGTGATAATGGTAGTTGAAGTAGTGGTTAGTGTTGTGGTGGTGGTGATAATGGTAGTTGAAAGTGGTTAGTGTTGTGGTGGTGGTGATAATGGTAGTTGAAGTAGTGGTTAGTGTTGTGGTGGTGGTGATAATGTAGTTGAAGTAGTGGTTAGTGTTGTGGTGGTGTGATAATGGTAGTTGAAGGTGTTAGTGTTGTGGTGGTGGTGATAATGGTGTTAAGTAGTGGTTGTGTGTGGTGGTGGTGATAATGGTAGTTGAAGCAGTGGTTAGTGTTGTGGTGGTGGTGATAATGGTAGTTGAAGTAGTGGTTAGTGTTGTGGTGGTGGTGATAATGGTAGTTGAAGTAGTGGTTAGTGTTGTGGTGGTGGTGATAATGGTAGTTGAAGTAGTGGTTAGTGTTGTGGTGGTGGTGATAATGGTAGTTGAAGTAGTGGTTAGTGTTGTGGTGGTGGTGATAATGGTAGTTGAAGTAGTGGTTAGTGTTGTGGTGGTGTGATAATGGTAGTTGAAGTAGTGGTTAGTGTTGTGGTGGTGGTGATAATGGTAGTTGAAGCAGTGGTTAGTGTTGTGGTGGTGGTGATAATGGTAGTTGAAGCAGTGGTTAGTGTTGTGGTGGTGGTGATAATGGTAGTTGAAGCAGTGGTTAGTGTTGTGGTGGTGGTGATAATGGTAGTTGAAGCAGTGGTTAGTGTTGTGGTGGTGGTGATAATGGTAGTTGAAGTAGTGGTTAGTGTTGTGGTGGTGGTGATAATGGTAGTTGAAGTAGTGGTTAGTGTTGTGGTGGTGGTGATAATGGTAGTTGAAGTAGTGGTTAGTGTTGTGGTGGTGGTGATAATGGTAGTTGAAGTAGTGGTTAGTGTTGTGGTGGTGGTGATAATGGTAGTTGAAGTAGTGGTTAGTGTTGTGGTGGTGGTGATAATGGTAGTTGAAGTAGTGGTTAGTGTTGTGGTGGTGGTGATAATGGTAGTTGAAGTAGTGGTTGGTTGTGGTGGTGGTGATAATGGTAGTTGAAGTAGTGGTTAGTGTTGTGGTGGTGGTGATAATGGTAGTTGAAGAAGTGGTTAGTGTTGTGGTGGTGGTGATAATGGTAGTTGAAGTAGTGGTTAGTGTTGTGGTGGTGGTGATAATGGTAGTTGAAGTAGTGGTTAGTGTTGTGGTGGTGGTGATAATGGTAGTTGAAGTAGTGGTTAGTGTTGTGGTGGTGGTGATAATGGTAGTTGAAGTAGTGGTTAGTGTTGTGGTGGTGGTGATAATGGTAGTTGAAGTAGTGGTTAGTGTTGTGGTGGTGGTGATAATGGTAGTTGAAGTAGTGGTTAGTGTTGTGGTGGTGGTGATAATGGTAGTTGAAGTAGTGGTTAGTGTTGTGGTGGTGGTGATAATGGTAGTTGAAGTAGTGGTTAGTGTTGTGGTGGTGGTGATAATGGTAGTTGAAGTAGTGGTTAGTGTTGTGGTGGTGGTGATAATGGTAGTTGAAGTAGTGGTTAGTGTTGTGGTGGTGGTGATAATGGTAGTTGAAGTAGTGGTTAGTGTTGTGGTGGTGGTGATAATGGTAGTTGAAGTAGTGGTTAGTGTTGTGGTGGTGGTGTATGGTAGTTGAGTAGTGTTATGTAGTGGTGGTGATATGGTAGTTGAAGTAGTGGTTAGTGTTGTGGTGGTGGTGATAATGGTAGTTGAAGTAGTGGTTAGTGTTGTGGTGGTGGTGATAATGGTAGTTGAAGTAGTGGTTAGTGTTGTGGTGGTGGTGATAATGGTAGTTGAAGTAGTGGTTAGTGTTGTGGTGGTGGTGATAATGGTAGTTGAGTAGTGGTTTAGTGTTGTGGTGGTGGTGAAATGGTAGTTGAAGTAGTGGTTAGTGTTGTGGTGGTGTGATAATGGTATTGAAGTAGTGGTTAGTGTTGTGGTGGTGGTGATAATGGTAGTTTGAATAATGGTTAGTGTTGTGTGGTGGTGATAATGGTATTGAAGTAGTGCTTAGTTTGTGGTGTGCTGTCAGTGAATGTAAGTTTGCTAATGTTGATAAAACACATCCTTGTTTAAAAATAAATGTCAAACATTTACAATGTCCCTAAACAAACTTGAAATAACATTCAAACGGCCAACTGGAATGCACAAGTCTGCCATTTAAAATAAAATGAAGAGCCAAGACCCATTCCACATAATTTCAGCAATTTGGAGACTGATATATGACATAAGAATGCCATCATACTGTCAAAAAGTAACACATCGTGTAAGAAGTAATGGGGATTGATTCAGCGGTCTGGCAGTTTTAATTTCATACGGGCACAGATTTCGATATTTCGACCGATTTTGATATTTGTGTCAACATAGGTGTCAGGAGGACTTACCTTCATAGAGTCTTCCCCAGCCGGTGACGTAACCAGTGTTATTGAGGAAGCTGTAGTCATCTTGGGGAACACAGATGGGGATGATGTTGGGCAGGAAGCTGACTGGCTCGTAGAACCTAACACAGAGACAGACCACTCTTACCATCCTTATTTAGTCTTGGAAGGGACCAACTTTCCTTATTCTTTGGAGGGACCAACGTTATTTAGTCTTGGGATACACCAACTTTATTTAGAAAGTCTTGTTGACTTATACTTTATTTATATAACAACTGTCTAATACCGTCATACCTGTCTATACACTGCCTTAGTGTACTAAACATTCTCCTACACCCAATGCAAAGGAAGTGAACTGATACTAATCAAGGCTTCGTGTTCCAAAGACTTGGATCTACTTGCCCTGTCATTGAGTCAAACCTTATTACCTCTCATTAACCAGGTGCTGGTTAACATTTTGATTATAATAATTATTATCGTTCATGGAATGGTAGGTAGAGTTCTTAACCTTCATCAAAGTACTCCTCCTAAACATAATATTAGAATCCCCTATATCTTTCTACCTCCACGAGACGTATTTAAGTTACCTGAGGAGAGCCAGGTCGAATTCAAAAGTGCGAGCGTCGAACTTGGGATGAGTAGCGATAATCTGAACTTTCCTCTCAGCGAAGGGGTATGGTTCGTCAGATCTCTCCAGATCAAACTCTCCCAGCCGTAGGAGAAGCTGCTCTGGTTGTACACTGTTACAAGATACAGTAAGGTTGTGGTTCAAGTTATACTACATGTCAGATTAAATATGGTATGGATAGTTTAATTTAGGTATGGTTTGCTTAGAGGAGGATATAAAAATGTGATGGCAGAATGAAGAATGGTGTTTATAATAGGTTATATGGGTGTGATGATGGTAATGGGGAGGATGACTGTGTGATAAGCTTACCCAAGAAAAGCCCACAGATGTGACATTACTTATTTGGCCGCAAAATATTAAAAATAGCCTACACATTATTAAAGTCTGGTTGATAATTTACATTTACGTTAACAATACTTTGTGTTACTCTGCAGTCTAGAGTTATTTATATTTCTTGAACTGTGTTAAGTTACTTGAACTGTCTTACTCACTTTTCCACGCAGTGAGCAGCTGTAATGGCCCAGTTTTCATTAAGAAGAGCAGCTCCACACTTGTGAAGGAAGGTCACTTGTCTCCACTGCCTCAAGGACACCTGTAGCAACACACATGAGGGTAACCACTAACAAAACTTCCACACACAAAACAACAGTTTAATTCAGTATGATTCAAGGTGTATAAAACTGCTGTAGCTGACAATTACTGCCAACACCAAGCTTTATAAGCTGAATGATGCATGCAACACTAATGAAATTTGAAAAAAATACGATGGGTTGTTATACCGAGTAAATTTTGATACTGTCACATAACCTAGACTATAGTGAGGTGCAATGGTTTCAATATAGAATATACAGCAATAATTTCCTTTCAAAATAAGTCAATGTACACCACTAATACGCGGTGATAATTTATTGTTAACGAGAAGTTTGGCTAGCAACACAACTTACGTTAGTGTTTTCTGAAGTGTATGTACACTAAGAGCTTATGTATACACGGAGAGGTGTATGTCTCTCAGTACAATATATATATAAGAGTGTAATTTGAAAAAGAAATTAAAAGCAACACATTTAACTGGAATAAATTATCTTAGTGTACGTATTCTACTACTGTACATTTACATGAGGCATTAATAAACATAATACTGGGGGTGGGGACTCGAACCACGGTTCTTGTACATATTTGGCCCAACACCACGGTTAGAGTCCCTACATATTATTGTTTATCCACTAACAGTCATTAAGACACTTAACTTGGGTTATATAGGACATGTTAAGGATTACTGTTTGTTTTTATTGACGGACTTTCACTGTCAGGAGACATGTGGGTTAACATGACACAGTCACTGCCTTAACGGGAACACTTTTTCCCTGGTCCAGGATAAGTAGGATACTAGGAGAGTAGGGTACGATATTATATAACACAGAACCAAAGATATTACATTATACAAACTCGTAATGTGCTTGTATGTGTGTATATTTATATTTGCTAGTTTAAAGGTTATCGACTACACGATGGTCATTATGGGGAACTAAGTTCCCGTCTTCTAATAACATGTTCATTTTTCCACTATAATCTACCTTGTTCATAATTACTATCACATTTGCTGTGTCTGTTTCGTAAGGTGAAGTCCAGGATCTTTCCTTAATTCATGAGAGGAAAGATCCTGGACTTCACCTTACGGAACAGACACAGCAAATGTGATAGTAATTATGGACAAGGTAGATTATAGTGGAAAAATGAACATGTTATTAGAAGACGGGGGAACTTACGTGCCCTTTAAGACTGCACTACACGTACTCACCTATTTGTGGTTGCAGGGGTAGAGTCTTAGCTCCTGGTCCCGCCTCTTCACCGGTTGCTACTAATGTGTGTGTGTGTGTGTGTGTGTGTGTGTGTGTGTGTGTGTGTGTGTGCATTTATGTATCTGTATACGTGTGTGTATTCCTGCATGTTTGTATGTGTGTGTATAACACTTACCTTAGTCATCCTAAGCAACACTGAAATATTTAAGAAAATATGTAGAAAATACAATACAAAACAACGATCAATTAAACAATGTAAAAAAAAATATCCGAAGATTTACTTTTCATTCTCTCTATTAAGTCACTGTTGATTACCTCACATTCCCCGCTGTACGACCCTTACGGGTTTAGCTCACCCCTTGATTACCTCCCACCCCAAGACACTGTATGACCCTTACGGCTTTAGCTCACCTGCCAGGGCCATTCTCCAAACGTAGCCTCGTTACCACCAACTATCCGCCCGGTCGGGTAGACGGGAACACCACAAACTATGGAAATAATATATATATATATATATATATATATATATATATATATATATATATATATATATATATATATATATAATATATTTAATCAAACATTATCCAAACACTTCTGCTTATTTCTCACTGCATAAAAATGAATGAAATTATCAACTGAGAGCAGACGTCATATACTCTAATATACAGTCCACTCTTAACAGTAAAATATGTTAGATATAATTAATATTACAATTCAGATTTTTGTCGTAGCCACTCAGTCACTACGACATGGGATAGTAACCATTATAAGCTAAATTATTTTCAATAAATTAAATATACAAAACTTCCATAAGTACTGATATTACGTAGATTTTTATGCTAAATATATACTTTCTTAATTGAAAAAAATAAAAGAAGACGTACATTGTTGCAGAAGTTGTTCAAAGTTCACATTTAATACTTAAGAAATATTAAACAAAAAAAATGTTGCTTACTGTCTTTGTAATTCGAAGTATTTAATTTCACCAGAAATTCGTCGACAAAACCTTCTGTTGTTGTGGCATTCAATATATCAGGCTTTACTGTAACGTTCCCACTAACAGGCTTCTCCGTAATTTCAATAGCAGGATTGACAGCGACATCTACACTGACAGGCTTCTCCGTCAATTCTACAATAGTAGGTTTGACAGTGCTTTCTTCAGTGACAGGCTTCTCCGTCAATTCTACAATAGTAGGTTTGACAGTGCTTTCTTCAGTGACAGGCTTCTCCGTCAATTCTACAATAGTAGGTTTGACAGTGCTTTCTTCAGTGACAGGCTTCTCCGTCAATTCTACAATAGTAGGTTTGACAGTGCTTTCTTCAGTGACAGGCTTCTCCGTCAATTCTACAATAGTAGGCTTGACAGTGCTTTCTTCAGTGACAGGTTTTTCTGTTACCTCTACAATCCCTGGCCCAATACTTATAACCCCGCCCCCTACAGGCTTCTCCATCACAACCACACTAGGCTTGAAAGTGACGTTCACACTAACAGGCTTTTCCGTCACAGATTCAGGCTTGTCCGTAGCAACACCACCGGGACTTAAAGTAGTCTCAACGATGTCGGGCTTGTTGGAGGCTTTGTCAGTTTCTTCGCTGACGCTAGGAGTCGAGTGTGCGGCCTCAGGCTGATCTGTAGTCCTGTCAGAGGTATCTGTCGGGAAAGGCTCCTCAGTAGTTTCCCATCCGGGGAAGATTACTGGGAAGTGTCCAGAGGGCAGTAGTGTTGTACTTTCCGGGGAGCTGACAGTGCCTGGTCGTGGAGTAACAGATGCAGGGGAAATTGATTGGTCGAGCCCCTCCTGTGGGAGGGTTGTGATGGCTGACTCAGGTTCATCAGTGGGTTTGGTACTACTCGGTAAGGTTGTTCCTGATATAATCTCGGTTGCATCGTCCGGTTCGGGAGATGCAGAAGCCGGAGAGAAATTGGGATCGATGGTTGTTTCCACTTCCTGGCTTGTGCCAACGAGTGTTGTGGCAGGTTCTGGAAAACCAGTGACAGGAAGCTTGGTTGTGACCACTTCTGGTACTGGTGTAGTTTTATCTTCCACGTTTATAGAACCTGATGTAGTTTCTACTTCTGTAACGTCGTCTCCTTCAGAAAAGACTGTTGTGGGAAGCATAGTAGACTCTTGTAAACCCGTGGACTCGGTAGCAGGAGCGCTAATCGGTGTAGCAGATTGCAAATTAGGGAGGGTAGGTTGAGAGTGTGGAAGAGTAACCTCCCCATCAAGAGGAGTTGCAGAAGACCCAGTCGTGCTTCCAGCATCGTTAGGAGTCTCTGTATCACCTTGCACTGTGACACCGGGATGAGTTACCTCGGTATGAGTAGGCTCGGGGTCAACAGCTACACTGGCCTCTGTCGCTGTGGAAGGTTCATCACTGCTGGTCTGCTCTTCGTCCGCTGGTCTTAGCGTCTGGGTCTCGCCTTCGTCAATGGTACTTGAAGAGGAAGTGGTTTCGGTTGTTTGCTCCTGATCCGACAGCCCTCCTTCAGTACCACCCACCACCACTCCTGTAGGTAACTGCACGCGTGTAGGTTCCATTGAAATAACACTTTCTTCGGTAGAACCTGGCCTTTCAGTGGCTTCTATTGAAGGATGTACCTCCTCGGTATAAGTGTTATTGGTTCCTGTTTGTTCTTCAGTAATTCCAGCCTGTCCAGTCGGTCCATCGATTGTGGTTCCAGTGTGATCCGTGGCTGCAGTATGTCCCTCAGTGGTGTCAGTCGGCCCAAGAGTGGTCTCAGTCGCTCCTGCCGTGCTTTCAGTCGTAGTCGTTCCAACAGGGGTTCCAGCCGTGGTTTCTGGCTGATTAACAACCGTTCCGACAGTGATTCCAGTGTTTCCAGCACTGGTAATACTAATTCCATCATTGGTTCCTGTCGGCCCGACAGTGGTTTCAGTCTGTCCGACAGTGATTCCAGTAGTTCCAGCAGTGGTAATACTAATCCCGACAGTGTTTCCAGTCGTTCCAGCAGTAATTCCTGTCGTTCCAGCAGTGGTCCCAGTCGTTCCAACAGTCGTCCCAGTCGATCCAGCAGTGATTCCAGTCGTTCCAGGCAGTTCGACAACGATTCCAGTCGTTCCAGCAGTGGTAATACTTGGTCCAGTTGTTCCAGCAGTAGCTCCAGTCGTTCCAGCAGTGGTAATACTAGATCCAGTGGTTCCAGTCTGGCTGAGAGTAGAGCCAGTTGTTCCAACAGTGGTTCCATTCGTTTCAACAGTAGTTCCAGTTTCAGCAGTGGTTCCAGTTTGCCCAAGAGTGGTCCCAGCTTGCTCGAGAGGAGATCCAGTTGTACCAGGAGTGGCTTCAGTCTGTCCGCTGGTGGTTGCTACAACTGTCGATACTTGGCCGGAAACGAGTCCAGGAGCAGACCCTGCGGGTCCCGGTTTGATGGTTTCGGGTTTGGTCGCCGGAACGAAACCAGGAATCATAGGAGAACCGGATGATGGTATCTCGTTAGTGATCTCTGATGGGGGAGCCTCGGCAGACTGCAGCTTGCAACACGAACCAAAATAAAATCTGTAGGAAAGAAGAGAATTAAAAACATTTCTGGAACATTAAGCAAATATCTGTTTATATATTTTTATCTACGAAGACAACATAGACACAGATATAAATTATTTGCGAAGACCCACATGGAGACAGAAAGAGTAAAATCGGACTGTATTTTGCGATCCGTTTGAAATCTTCAATAGTGAGGATCTGACAAGATGATGGACGCAAACACTATCTGTTTACACTCTATTTTGTCTCCATGTGAGTTTTCTTAACTCACCAGCAAGTGTCTACTACACTTTGATGTTTCATCACAGAAAAGTTGTACATTTTTACGTTCACATTGATGTCAAACATGTGTACTAATAAAATTAACACCCTTTCAGGAGGTGCCTTGATGCTTGTGAAGTGACTTTTGAATCACAGCTCATTATCCTCCTTCCATTACCCAGGCGCTGTATGACTCCGTAGTATGTTAATGATAGTAAGACTAACCTGTCAATACAAGTGCCGAGGTGGGTTCCATTAGCCTCCTTACAGTCCCAGGCGAACATACACACCCCAGCCTCATTTATCTTCTTATCGGTACACGGGAGAGGGCGAATGTTTCGTCCATAACCTGTAGGTGAAAGTAGACCCTTAATTATTATTACTATTCTTACTCACGAAATCGTAATGACACGATTGTAAACAAACCATACCGCGGGTGGGGCTAGAACCCGCGGTCAAAGTAATAAAACTCCAGACTGACGCGTTAGCCACTGGACCAGCTGGCTACAATAAGATTCATCGAACTAGTCTGAAGTTTTATGACTCTCTGACCGCGGGTTCTAGCCCCACCCGTGGTATGGTTTATTACTACTACTGAAGACGCTATATTAACGGTGCTGTTGAATAATTGGGTAGGTGGGAATGGTTGTTTTGAGAAAGACCTGCCTAGTATGAGCCAGTAGGCCTGCTGCAGTGTTCCTCCATTCTTATGAGAACACAGTTTTGTTCCAGCAACAATAGACTAGTATTAAATAACTCGTTTGCAAACTACGCTAAAAATATTAATATAATTGATCACAAATTATAAATACGCGCATTAATACACTGTAATATCTATCAGTGAAAATATACTTGAGGAATTATTAAGCAAGTTTAACTCAAACATAATGACAAAAATATTGACACATATTTTATACAGTAATTTATTATACAGTAGTTTACATTTGCTCTTTTTGTTAATATAATACTAGTATATAATATAGTGTTATGTAATAATACTTTGTGGTAATATATTATACAGTAGACTGTGAGCAGTTAGTGACAGATGCCGGAGCAACTTGACAGTGGAACAAGTTAGTGACAGATGCCGGAGCAACTTGACAGTGGAACAAGTTAGTGACAGATGCCGGAGCAACTTGACAGTGGAACAAGTTAGTGACAGATGCGGAGCAACTTGACAGTGGAGCAAGTTAGTGACAGATGCCGGAGCAACTTGACGGTGGAACAAGTTAGTGACAGATGCCGGAGCAACTTGACAGTGGAACAAGTTAGTGACAGATGCCGGAGCAACTTGACAGTGGAGCAAGTTAGTGACAGATGCCGGAGCAACTTGACAGTGGAACAAGTTAGTGACAGATGCCGGAGCAACTTGACAGTGGAACAAGTTAGTGACAGATGCCGGAGCAACTTGACAGTGGAACAAGTTAGTGACAGATGCCGGAGCAACTTGACAGTGGAGCAAGTTAGTGACAGATGCCGGAGCAACTTGACGGTGGAACAAGTTAGTGACAGATGCCGGAGCAACTTGACAGTGGAACAAGTTAGTGACAGATGCCGGAGCAACTTGACGGTGGAGCAAGTTAGTGACAGATGCCGGAGCAACTTGACAGTGGAACAAGTTAGTGACAGATGCCGGAGCAACTTGACAGTGGAACAAGTTAGTGACAGATGCGGAGCAACTTGACAGTGGAGCAAGTTAGTGACAGATGCCGGAGCAACTTGACGGTGGAACAAGTTAGTGACAGATGCCGGAGCAACTTGACAGTGGAACAAGTTAGTGACAGATGCCGGAGCAACTTGACGGTGGAACAAGTTAGTGACAGATGCCGGAGCAACTTGACAGTGGAACAAGTTAGTGACAGATGCCGGAGCAACTTGACAGTGGAACAAGTTAGTGACAGATGCCGGAGCAACTTGACAGTGGAACAAGTTAGTGACAGATGCCGGAGCAACTTGACGGTGGAACAAGTTAGTGACAGATGCCGGAGCAACTTGACAGTGGAACAAGTTAGTGACAGATGCCGGGAGCAACTTGACAGTGGAGCAAGTTAGTGACAGATGCCGGAGCAACTTGACAGTGGAACAAGTTAGTGACAGATGCCGGAGCAACTTGACAGTGGAACAAGTTAGTGACAGATGCCGGAGCAACTTGACAGTGGAACAAGTTAGTGACAGATGCGGAGCAACTTGACGTGGAACAAGTTAGTGACAGATGCCGGAGCAACTTGACAGTGGAACAAGTTAGTGACAGATGCCGGAGCAACTTGACGGTTGGAACAAGTTAGTGACAGATGCCGGAGCAACTTGACAGTGGAACAAGTTAGTGACAGATGCCGGAGCAACTTGACAGTGGAACAAGTTAGTGACAGATGCCGGAGCAACTTGACGGTGGAACAAGTTAGTGACAGATGCCGGAGCAACTTGACAGTGGAACAAGTTAGTGACAGATGCCGGAGCAACTTGACGGTGGAACAAGTTAGTGACAGATGCCGGAGCAACTTGACAGTGGAACAAGTTAGTGACAGATGCCGGAGCAACTTGACAGTGGAACAAGTTAGTGACAGATGCCGGAGCAACTTGACAGTGGAACAAGTTAGTGACAGATGCCGGAGCAACTTGACAGTGGAACAAGTTAGTGACAGATGCCGGAGCAACTTGACAGTGGAACAAGTTAGTGACAGATGCCGGAGCAACTTGACAGTGGAACAAGTTAGTGACAGATGCCGGAGCAACTTGACAGTGGAACAAGTTATGTGACAGATGCTGGAGCAACTTGACAGTGGAACAAGTTAGTGACAGATGCCGAGCAACTTGACGGTGGAACAAGTTAGTGACAGATGCCGGAGCAACTTGACAGTGGAACAGTTAGTGACAGATGCCGGAGCAACTTGACGGTGGAACAAGTTAGTGACAGATGCCGGAGCAACTTGACAGTGGAACAAGTTAGTGACAGATGCCGGAGCAACTTGACAGTGGAACAGTTAGTGACAGATGCCGGAGCAACTTGACAGTGGAACAAGTTAGTGACAGATGCCGGAGCAACTTGACAGTGGAACAAGTTAGTGACAGATGCCGGAGCAACTTGACAGTGGAACAAGTTAGTGACAGATGCCGGAGCAACTTGACGGTGGAAACAAGTTAGTGACAGATGCCGGAGCAACTTGACGGTGGAACAAGTTAGTGACAGATGCCGGAGCAACTTGACGGTGGAACAAGTTAGTGGCAGATGCCGGAGCAACTTGACAGTGGTGAACAAGTTAGTGACAGATGCCGGAGCAACTTGACAGTGGAACAAGTTAGTGACAGATGCCGGAGCAACTTGACAGTGGAACAAGTTAGTGACAGATGCCGGAGCAACTTGACAGTGGAACAAGTTAGTGACAGATGCCGGAGCAACTTGACAGTGGAGCAAGTTAGTGACAGATGCCGGAGCAACTTGACATTGGAACAAGTTAGTGACAGATGCCGGAGCAACTTGACAGTGGAGCAAGTTAGTGACAGATGCCGGAGCAACTTGACAGTGGAACAAGTTAGTGACAGATGCCGGAGCAACTTGACGGTGGAACAAGTTAGTGACAGATGCCGGAAGCAACTTGACAGTGGAGCAAGTTAGTGACAGAGCCGGAGCAACTTGACAGTGGAACAAGTTAGTGACAGATGCCGGAGCAACTTGACATGGAACAAGTTAGTGACAGATGCCGGAGCAACTTGACAGTGGAGCAAGTTAGTGACAGATGCCGGAGCAACTTGACAGTGGAGCAAGTTAGTGACAGATGTCAGAGCAACTTGACAGTGGAACAAGTTAGTGACAGATGCCGGAGCAACTTGACAGTGGAACAAGTTAGTGACAGATGCCGGAGCAACTTGACAGTGGAGCAGTTGTGACAGATGCCGGAGCAACTTGACATTGGAACAAGTTAGTGACAGATGCCGGAGCAACTTGACAGTGGAGCAAGTTAGTGACAGATGCCGGAGCAACTGACAGTGGAGCAAGTTAGTGACAGATGCCGGAGCAACTTGACAGTGGAGCAAGTTAGTGACAGATGCCGGAGCAACTTGACAGTGGAGCAAGTTAGTGACAGATGTCAGAGCAACTTGACAGTGGAACAAGTTAGTGACAGATGCCGGAGCAACTTGACAGTGGAACAAGTTAGTGACAGATGCCGGAGCAACTTGACATTGGAACAAGTTAGTGACAGATGCCGGAGCAACTTGACATTGGAACAAGTTAGTGACAGATGCCGGAGCAACTTGACAGTGGAACAAGTTAGAGACAGATGCCGGAGCAACTTGACAGTGGAACAAGTTAGTGACAGATGTCAGAGCAACTTGACAGTAGAACAAGTTAGTGACAGATGTCAGAGCAACTTGACAGTGGAACAAGTTAGTGACAGATGCTGGAGCAACTTGACAGTGGAACAAGTTAGTGACAGATGTCAGAGCAACTTGACAGTGGAACAAGTTAGAGACAGATGCCGGAGCAACTTGACAGTGGAGCAAGTTAGTGACAGATGTCAGAGCAACTTGACAGTGGAACAAGTTAGTGACAGATGCCGGAGCAACTTGACAGTGGAGCAAGTTAGTGACAGATGTCAGAGCAACTTGACAGTGGAAAAAAGTTAGTGACAGATGCCGGAGCAACTTGACAGTGGAACAAGTTAGTGACAGATGCCGGAGCAACTTGACATTGGAACAAGTTAGTGACAGATGCCGGAGCAACTTGACATTGGAACAAGTTAGTGACAGATGCCGGAGCAACTTGACAGTGGAACAAGTTAGAGACAGATGCCGGAGCAACTTGACAGTGGAACAAGTTAGTGACAGATGTCAGAGCAACTTGACAGTGGAACAAGTTAGTGACAGATGCCGGAGCAACTTGACAGTGGAACAAGTTAGTGACAGATGCCGGAGCAACTTGACAGTGGAGCAAGCTAGTGAAAGATGCCGGAGCAACTTGACATTGGAGCAAGTTAGTGACAGATGCCGGAGCAACTTGACAGTGGAGCAAGTTAGTGACAGATACCGGAGCAACTTGACAGTGGAGCAAGTTAGTGACAGATGCCGGAGCAACTTGACAGTGGAGCAAGTTAGTGACAGATGCCGGAGCAATTTGACAGTGGAACAAGTTAGTGACAGATGCCAGAGCAACTTGACAGTGGAGCAATTTAGTGACAGATGCCGGAGCAACTTGACAGTGGAACAAGTTAGTGACAGATGCCAGAGCAACTTGACAGTGGAACAAGTTAGTGACAGATGCCGGAGCAACTTGACATTGGAACAAGTTAGTGACAGATGCCGGAGCAACTTGACAGTGGAGCAAGTTAGTGACAGATGCCGGAGCAACTTGACATTGGAACAAGTTAGTGACAGATGCCGGAGCAACTTGACAGTGGAGCAAGTTAGTGACAGATGCCGGAGCAACTTGACATTGGAGCAAGTTAGTGACAGATGCCGGAGCAACTTGACAGTGGAGCAAGTTAGTGACAGATGCCGGAGCAACTTGACATTGGAGCAAGTTAGTGACAGATGCCGGAGCAACTTGACATTGGAACAAGTTAGTGACAGATGCCGGAGCAACTTCACAAAGAAACAAGAGACAATGACAGAGAGGGAAAGGAGAACGAACAGATAAGAACTATATTCACTGAACGAATTGTGACGAAGTACCAAGACTTGACTGCCACCCCCAACATATCGACAAGATTGCTACGAAAAGGAAGGGAAATTTTGTTCAATGAAGTGGTATTTTCCGAAGCGTAAAATTCCTGTTGGTCATTCAGCACAAGTATTAGTGAAGCTTCTTACTTCCTTCCCTCAACACGGGGCAGACAAGCAACCTATCTGAACAAGTGACTGCACTATGCTACATCGAAAAGAGTTTTGTTACTCAAAAGACTACTTAATATGATGAAGACTCAAACAGAAGTAACTGGCAAAGTATTAGCGACTATTAGGGAATCCCTGAAAGGCAGACGACGGAAGGTATATTAATAAATAGTGTAAGAAAGTTAGTGTTACCAGGGGTCCTTCAGGGATCGGTGCAAGGTCCCATACTCTTTTCTTGTGTGTGTGTATTTTAACGAGCTACCCACGGCGGTGTACTCCAACATACCCTTGTTCTTGTTCGATGCAAAAAAAAATTAAGGATACAAACGGAGGACAATATAAGGTTGCGAGAAGATCAGGACATGCTAAGAGAATGAAAGAAATATTGGTTACCAACCCATCTAGTAAAAATTAGTGAAAATAGAAGGCTAAGAAAGGAAACTGAGAAAGTACCATACTGGAAATATGAAAAAAAAACAGTAATCATTACAATCACCTAACCTGTACCCAGAAACTCACAAAAATAACATTAATGTCACAATATACATAAACGCCATCGCAAATCCAGATAGACGTCTTAAAGTGAGTGTCTTGATGCGTAGTAAAGATCTCTGAATCCAAAAGACTGTAAATCATATTTCCCTTTGATTTAAACGTAATTACCACCAATACCCCAAAAATATATTCCTTATTAATCTACGAAGTAAGGTGTTACCTAGGCAAGATGCGATGTTAGTAATGTAGACGCTACTAGCAGCGTCTAGAGCCATGCGTCTAGCCTACAACAACAGACAAGTAGATCCTACCGTAGCGACTACCTCTGAGGTACAGGAACGGGTGGGCAGTGGTGAGGGAGACGAGGACAAACACTACTAATGCAGTCGCCTGTCTCCTCCAACACTCAGCCCACGGCAGCATAATGTTGTACTGCTGCCCACGATCTGTCAACAATAAATTATGTTAGTTATACCTCAATGCCAATCCAAATACACTTATACTAATAACACTACTACTATTAATAATAATAATAATAATAATAATAATAATAATAATAATAATAATAATAATAATAATAATAATTATAATAATAATAAAGGCCTGAGCTTGCTACCATCTGCAGCTCATAAGGCTGCCATCCCCACGAGCCCCTTCGAGGCGGGGTAGATGGCAGACCAGAGGCCTAGCTTCTCCCTACGAGCCCCGTGAGGGCGGGGAATGTGGCTAGGCCTGGGGACAGTTGGTCCCAAAGATGAGGGAGTACTTGTGCCTCCTCCCATGGGAGACTTACGTCTCGAGACACTCCCCAGATAGGGAGCCAAGGCCGGGTCACCACTACTTGGAAAAGACCCGGGCCGGGAGAATACCGGCGAATAAAAAAAAAAAATATATAATAATAAACGGAATACATTACCGTGTTTGAGTTCCTTTGAAGTTAATATAGTCTCGTTACCTTAGAAAACAACTTTCTAACCTGGAGCTCATTACCTTTGTAAATTCTCATGATTAATGTGTTTGATTCATTTCCTTTGCAATTATTCATGTGTGACCAACTCTATACCTGGAGCTCATTACCTTTGTAACTTGGTCATGATTATGACCAGATCTAGTTCATTACCTTTGTAACTTGCTCAGCTATCAAAACTTTGGAGTCCAGTCCCTGGACCAATTATGTACCTCTGTAATCTTTTGACTACCGCCCACAGGATGGGTATGGGGTGACTACCGCCCACAGGATGGGTATGGGGTGCATAATAAACATGTTAAACTAACTGCACACCTTGCAGGTGAGTTTGTTCTGTGTTTTACATAGCACTGGAATTATTAATATAATCAAGGGGAAGCGCTAAACCCGTAGGATTATACAGCGCCTGTGGGGGGAATGTGGAAGGTATTCAGGCTTAATACATGGAATTGGAGCACAGATCCAATTCCCTAGATCAAGAGCCCCTCACCAGCGTCAAGGAACCTACCTTGAGGGGACATAGCACTAGAAGTGTTTGGATATTCAGAGCATTAACATTCCCATTCTAACATCAACTTGTTTCTGTCGTTATCAGCTGACACTAATCAGCTTCCTCTTGTCAACAATTCACTCTCATATTACGTAAATATTATCACAAAGCAATTATGTATATATATATATATATAAAATATATATAATAAATAAATATATATATAAAATATATATATATATATATAATAAATTTTTAAAGAGGTGGACCGGTAAGCCAGCGGAAGGCCTCGGTCAGATGACTAAAAGCTCCAGCTGCGGGTCATCATACGGCTATGACCTAGCCTAATCTATCTGCCTTGAAGAAATAATTTTGAGGTGTCAGTCCCTCAGCCCGAAGAAACTTCTAGCTCCTGGGTGTCAATCAATATATAATTTCGGAAATAAAGAGAGCAAAGTTTTGAACATGTCTTATACATCATACTCAAACGACATGAATGAGGCAAGTACAAGGGTAACTAGTTGATTTGGTGGGTACAATGGTGTGTTAGTGGCGGCTGCAGCAGCAACAGCTGCAATCAAATGTTTTAATAACATAGTGATGTAATATGTGAGGTGACTCAACCTGCTGGTTCGACTCCCGCTCAGGACTGACAGGTATGTCTACCTTTTTGTCCTCGTAGAGGGCTGTTACCTTGATGCTGGCGGCTCTTGATCCAAGGAATCGTACCTAACATCACAAATGATTCCCTCCCATTACCCAGGCCCTCCACAACTCCTATGGGGTGTATGTACACAGAGAGACGTACCCCATGCGAGGGCCTTCAGCTTATGCTGGTCTGCTAATGTGATCTTGGTAATTATGTTATTTATTGTATGTTAGGGAAAATTACCTGACACGGATCTATGGTATGAGTTGATATGTTCAGTGGTGCTGGCACTGTGGTTGAGATTCTGCAACACAAAGAACATATGAATCTGGAGTAGCCGACATTCTAATAGTGAACCATGGTACAGAGGCCAGTGGGATAACTGTATTAACTCAATGTTCTGAGCGTTACTATGGTGAACCAGGGAAGCAGTGATAACTAACTTGCCGACGCTGAACTCATTCTTCTAAGTGACTGACTAGATCTGTACATCTCGTTGAGACAGCCCTACTACTTGTCTTAGTGTGCTGGACACTTCTGTGACTCCTGACACACTACAAACACCTCCTGAAGGACACACAAACATCCTCTACATATTCCATTTACAATAATTAGTACAAAATTAAAACTTGAGGTAACACAAAGTGCAGAAGCGTGACGCTCGTTCCAGATTTCTGGAGGGAAGATGACAAGGAAAAACTCTTAAATTATTTTTCCACTTGGTTGGAGCGCTGAATATCTGCGGGGCATTCAGAACCTACATGTACATGTGAACTCTACACGTCAAGCAGGTATCATTGTCACATCCACCCACACACGCACCATGGAATACTCTCACATGAACAAGTTGTCAGCATCTTCCTCTCTAAACCGGTCCAAAGAAAGCCAGAAGATACAACGTTAACAGTAACTGCTGCTGGAGACAACTCCCACTCCACAAGCATCTCCCACTCCAGCAAGCGTCTCTGCTGCACTCCTGTTACACATCGCAGAAAATATTGTAGACGGCCTCGTTAGGCTTCAGCTTCCCAAAGAATGATCGATCAAGCCATTAAACTCAGTAACAGGAATGACAGTTGGTGAATTAGGCTCCAAAACTGTCGACTTCTTGTCTGCAGTGATACATTCACCTGTTTCTCTTGTATTTGAGTGAATAAGCCTACTGTGCAGGCGAAACGTTTCGGTAATAAAGATACCCAAGTGTTGCACATGTATCTTTCACCTATTCACCAATCAAGAATGATTTAATACCAAAAATATATATTAAAGTAAATTCTCAATTTATTTACACTGAGATGTCAGGTATTATCTTCAATGTTTTCAGTCATTTATAAATTCATCCTAACTAAACATTAGTCACCTAAAAAATTATGATAAACTCGCCTAAATTTTAGAAAATGGAGTGACAGATTATTGTCATATAGCACCCCAATGGAAATAAGTCACTGACTTTTTTGCGTTATCCTAGGTTCTGTACACATATGCTGCTATGTATGACAATCTATGTAACTGTATTTGTGTGTACCAGAATAAACTTACTTACTTACACCTGGAAAATGGCAGCTAGTTAGGCTTGATACGAAGACGGGGACGGTAGTTCCAGTTCTTCGGATCAAGAGCCCCTCACCAGGATCAAGGGTCGAGTGATAGTAAATTACAGAGTCCAGAGTCAACAAGATTAAAATGTTCGTCAGAGGTCACCAAAGATCACCAGTAATCAAGGAAGGTAAGAAGTCACCGGAAGTCTTCAAAATCACCAGATGATATTGCTGGTTAGCAAAGATCACCAGTAGCCACCAGAGACCCACTGAACGATAAGGACTCACCAGGAACTACTGAATGTCAATAAAGGTCTCCAGTGATCTCCAGAGGCTACCAAAGGTCAACAAAAGTTATCAGAGATAACCTAGGAAATAGGCTATTGCAAGTCACTAACAGCCATTGACAGGACGTTACTGGGGGCCAATATAGGCCACCAGATGTTATCAGGGAATCAGAGGTTACCAAAGGTTAGCAGAGGTCACTAGAGGTAACCAGAGGCTACTGTAGGTCACCAAAGATCACAAGAAGTTATCAGAGGTCACCAGAAGTAACCAGAGGCTACTGAAGGTCACCATGGATTCAAGAAGTTACCAGAGGTCACCAGAAGTAACCGGAGGCTACAGGTCACCAAAAATCACAAAAAGTTATCAGAGGTCACCAGAAGTAACCAGAGGCCACTGAAGGTCACCAAAGATCACAAGAAGTTATCAGAGGTCACCAGAAGTGGCCACAAATCCCCAGAGGCTATCATGAACCACAAGCACCTACTGCACCTCACCACAGATCCTTACACAATGACTCACCAAGGAGCAAACACTAATTACACCTATTTTACCTGAGGCAATGTGTAAGTCATCCAGCTGAAACGATCTGCAAACTAGCAAGATTTACCAACCATTACTCCCATGGAAGCTGCCATGATTCCTCATAGCAACTACCATGACATCAGTGGTAATTATCTCAATATTTTTTTGCCATATTCAAGAAAAATCCTTAGATGAACATTTTTTTCGTGAAGCAGCAAATTCTCATTAGTTCAGGTTCCCAAATATAGTTTAATTTAACTGGGGAATTTCTTGGAGCTTGGTCATTCACGGTGTTGGTAGTGTGATCACTCGTGGTCCTGAAACCGTAGTTATTTGCAGTCTTAGTCTTAAGAACGCAGTTACTGGTGGTCAGGAGAACAAATCACTCGCTGTCCTGTGAACGCGATTACTCGCGAAGTTCTGTGATTGCTTTTACTCGCTAGGTTTTGTGTGTTCTCACTTGTTAGGTCTGTGACCATTCTCACTCGAGAGGCCTTGTGATTGCTCTCACTTGGGAGGTCCTGTGACCGCTCTTACTCGCGAATCTGAAGATCCCCATCTCTCAAAAGTCTAAACAAAAAAGTCATCCCAGGTTGTTCCACTTCAGAATGACACAGCCAGTTTTAATAAGACACGCTACTACGGGTATTTCCTTGCAAGTTCCTCCGCAACGTGTCATCCAGCTTTATTTGTGGTTGCCCACCGTTCGTGGAACATACGTTAATCAAAGAAAATTATATTCATTAAAAAAGTAATGCACTAGAACGAAATAAACTGCAATATGTAACAATAACCAGACCGCAAACAACGAAGTATTTGTACTAGAAGAAAAAACACAGCCCGGCACTTCATATTATAAGTGAAATACAGTTAGTTACAAATTTCACACGAATCTATCTTATTAAGTAAGGTTCGTCAGGCAACAGCACAAGCGTTTCTTGACGTGGTTCTATGAATCTATCCTAGGTTACGTTAAATAAAATCGTCAGGAAAACAAGACAAGAATTCCCGGCACCATAGGATTCTCATTTGTAATATCTAACAACCCAACAGCCAAACATTGCAAATATGTATGTAAACATTTAAGCCTTGAGCTATCTGTGTAAATATTACTGCTGTAAAATATACAATAAATAACTATGGGTATTTTCAATATATAAATATATTCTGTTTCGACGCATGTAAAAGTTTTAAAAGCCTGTTTACATTTTTTTAATATGTAGCTGGAGGCGGGTTGAGGAGAGGACGCTGGCGGCTTCACCCTCTCAGAAGCGACCTTGCAAGGTGCGTTGACCAGCTCAACATCATTTACTGACTCTCACGGCGTTCATAATTGGAGCTACCCCAATGATCCCTTCTCCCTGGATCAAACCTGATAACTTAACACTATCCTAGATGCTGTATGATCCTTGTGGGTACAGCACTTCCCAATAATAATAATAATAATAATAATAATAATAATAATAATAATAATAATAATTAAAACAAAAAGATTTCTTTGCAATAAATATGATACACTGGAATTACTGGAAAAAATAGATATCTTAAAATAATAAAAAAATATACACTGAAATGTGTATATATCTCAGTGTATATACACAGTTTTTTATTATTCTGGGTGTTCAAGTATTCTTGACTGGTGGTAAACTGGTGTGATACAGCCTTAACGCCCCACGTGTATTGCATAGGCTCTAAACCCCATTAACCAACCAACATCCTGCAATAACTTCCAAGAATAACATTAGTGAGCCCCAGCAATCACTCATTAAGCAAGGAATCCCCAGTCTGGGTCAGCCCAGAGGCTGGCCAGACAATCTTTGTATTGAAATGCTACAGGAAGTCATTCTAGTTAGTAACGAAGTCACCACAAACCCGCAATTAGGAAAGGATCTTATGATGACGTTTCGATCCGTTCTGGACCATTGTTAAGTAACAAATAGGGCGAGAAGAGTAGAGAAGGCCGAGACATGCTCACAGACACATGCTCACACAGACACATGCTCGTACAGACATGCTCACAGACACATGGTCAGATACATACTCCTACAGTCACATACTCCTACTGACACATATTCCTACTGACACATGCTCACACAGACATATGCTCATACAGACAGGCACACATACACACAAACAAGAGCGACAAAAAACTAACAAATACAGACAAACAACGTAGCCTAACAAGCTGTCAGTTAATTGGTGGTGTCAGTAATTGAATGAAACTCGACAGGAAGGACACGCGCAACAGCGCAACGGAAGTCTATATCGCAACAGAACAACGGAAGAGGATATCACAACAGAGACTTCCGAACCAAAAATCTGTTTCAGTTTAGGATATTACAAATTGAAATTAAGAAACCCCCCAAAAAGTATGTCAATCTTACACCAAAAGGTTTGATCAGAGGAAGGAGAGTGAGCAATTCCAATTCCTGGGATCAAGAGCCCTTAACCGGCATATTTTCATTGTAATAATTATATGTATTACTGTCTGTATCTTTTTTTTAAATTATTCTTTCTCATGTGTCACTAGACATTAACCAATACTTATTATTATTATACAAATGTACACAACTGCATTGTAATACTATACACTACTGTATTTAATACAACTATACCACTGTATTAAAATACAATGATACACTACTATAATACAACTACACTTAAAATACAACTATACATTACTGTATTATAATAAAATTAAAGTATCTGTAGAACAGTGCAGAAGTTTTTTTGTCAATATAGGAAGTGCAAGTGACTAATGTAGTGATTCTCACACCTGGTATATACAACAAGAACAACAACACAAATAAAACAACCACAACCATCAACAACACAACCATCACCAACAACACAACCATCACCAACAACACAACCATCACCAACAACACAGCCATCACCAACAACACAACCATCACCAACAACACCCCAACCCATCAACCAACAAACACAGCCATCACCAACAACACAACCATCACCAACCCAACACAAGCCATCACCACCCCAACACAAACCATCACAAACAACACAACCATCACCAACAACACACCATCACCAACAACACAACCATCACCAACAACACAACCATCACCAACAACACAGCCATCACCAACAACACAACCATCACAACAACACAACCATCACCAACAACACAACCATCACCAACAACACAGCCATCACCAACAACACAACCATCACCAACAACACAAAACAACAACACAAACATCACCAACAACACAGCCATCACCAACAACACAACCATCACCAACAACACAACCATCACCAACAACAACAACCATCACCAACAACACACCATCACCAACAACACAACCATCACAAACAACAACACCAACCATCACCAACAACACAACCCTCACCAACAACACAAACCATCACCAACAACACAACCATCACCAACAACACAACCATCACCAACAACAACACAACCACCACCAACAACACAACCATCACCAACAACACAACCATCACCAACAACACAACCATCAAACCCAAAACACAACCATCACCAACAACACAACCATCACCCAAAAACACAACCATCACCAACAACACAACCATCACCAACAACACAACCATCACCAACAACAACAACCACCACCAACAACACAACCATCACCAACAACACAACCATCACCAACAACACAGCCATCACCAACAACACAACCATCACCAAACACACAACCATCACCAACAACAACACAACCACCACCAACAACACAACCATCACCAACAACACAACCATCACCAACAACACAACCATCACCAACAGCACAACCATCACCAACAACACAACCATCACCAACAACACAACCATCACCAACAACAACACAACCACACCAACAACACAGCCATCACCAACAACAACACAACCATCACCAACAACACACAACCACCACCAACACACCCCAACACCAACAACACAACCTCACCCAAACCCAAAAACACAACCATCAACAACAACACAACCATCACCACAAAACACCCATCACCAAAAACACAACCCTCACCAACAACACAACCACACCACCAACAACACAACCATCAACCACCAACAACAACACAACCATCACCAACAACAACACAACCATCACCAACAACAACACAACCATCACCACCAACACACACAACCATCACCCCAACAACAACACAACCATCAAACCCAAAAACAACACAACATCACCAACACCAACACAACCATCACCACCAACAACAACACAACCATCACCAACAACAACACAACCATCACCACCAAACAACACAACCATCACCAACAAACAATACCACCATCACCAACAACAACACAACCATCAACAACAACAACCATCATCAACAACACACAACACGATCATCACCAACAAAACAACAACCATCACCAACACAACACAACCATCACCACCACCAACAACACAACCATCACCACACAATAACACAACCATCACCAACAACAACAAACCACCATTACAATAATTCATAACATTTATACCGAATAAACAACACCCTCACCTACAACACCAACAACCATTTATCAACCCAAAAACACAACCATCACCACCACAAACACCATCAAACCACCAACAACAACCAACCATCACCACCGCCAACAACACAACCATCATCAACAACAACAACACAACCACACAACCAACAAAAACCCAAAACAACCACTTACCACCAACAAAACAACCATCACCAATAAACAACAACAGCAACCATCACCACAACACAACACAAACCATCACCAGCAACAACAACACAACCAAAACCCTCACCAACACAACACACCAAACACCAACGACAACAACACAACCATCACAACAAAACCACCACCCAACAACTACAACACCACCAACACAATACCAACACCACCAACAACAACACAACCATCACCAACAACAAAACCATCAAGCAACAACAAAACCAACCACACCAACACAATACAACCAACACTACCACTAACAACATAACACAACCACCACCAACACCAACTCTGACAACAGCAACCACATCACAACAATTCAGTACAATAATACCAACCAAACAGACAAACACTAGTGTAAATAACCCACACTAACTCATGGTTATACTAGGAAAAATCTCCACAATTTGGCATTATTGCATAACTATACCAATCGTGTATTTCTGAAACCGTTATATAAATACATCTGCTGAAGAGGGCCTCAACAATCATCGAGAACACCAACAATCGTGGAGGGAACACCAACAATCACAGAGGGTCCACCAACAATCATGGAGTGCACACAAACAATCACTCAAGAATCAGAGAGAGGTGGAGCATCTCACTTACCAGAAACCGGTCGACAATTTGTGTCAGGTCCCAGAGCACACCACACTGCAGCAGGTACTGGTGTGTGTACGAGGACTCAGGTACTTGTGTGTGTACTGGGACTCCCTGGGCACCTATAACTTGAGTCTTGTTGCTATACGGACTTCCAGTACTCGTTATCCACTATAACACTTGTGCACAGTGTAGGTTAATGCACCTTCGGTTCGCTATTATGTTCATAAGAGCGGCAGTAATGGAGGTCCCATTCTGGCAGTCTGTGGGGTTTCAGCAACACTGTCCAAGTGGGTTGTCTGTTATGCTTGGATGTCCCTTCTTTGGCGCTAGGGGAAGAGTGTGTGTGTGTGAGAAATGTGTGCGAGAGTGAGGGTAGAGAGAGAGAGCGAGTGCGTGTGAGCAAGACGATGGCAGGCCACAAACTGTCTCAAGGAGCTGCCTGTCTACAAGCCGCTGGACTCCAGCACTAAAGTTACCTGAATTCCCCAACCTCTTCGCTACATAAGTTCCATAAGCTTTCGCTCGCCGGGGCTTATATGAGGTCAATAGTTTTCACTTCCTCCTTCTAAGAACGAACATTTCAGTCACTATCACCTTCTTGGAGAAGTGTAGCACCCGAATGTTGTGTTGTTTTGGGAGTGTGGAGGCCAGTGACTGGAGTACAGAGATATTATGTGAAAAACTTGGGCTTTCGCCTAGAGTTGGTTTGCCAGGCGAGTGGTATAGTGTGTAGCAGGTGAAGGAGGCAGCGGGGTGCACACATACCCACAGGAGGCGCCCCAGGTGGTGGTGAGGGTGGCTGTGCCTCCAGGGTAACCTCCAGGGCACTTCAGAGAATGAGATCAAGAACCAAGCACTACCACGCACGCGCACGCAAGCAAGTACACCCACACACAGAGGTACAATCAACCAAGGTACGGGTGGGGTTAGAACCCATGGCAAGTAAGTCGTAAAATTCCAGGCCGGTACGTAAACCACTGGCTCACTTGCCATGGGGTCTAACCCCACTCGTACCTTGGTTTGTCTGCAATCGTATTATTATGATTTCGTGAGTCGGTACGATAAAGCTCTTGGAAAAGGGAGTGGGCCTAGTAGCGACCAGTGAAGACAAGGGGCCAGGAGCTATGAATCAACCCCTTTCGAGAGTGTGATCTCAGGCACTTGAGATCACTCTCAAAAAAGTGAACAAAGTAGCCTACTGTTCACAATGTTGTGGAGACCAGATCAAAGCCTAGCTGCTTCGTATTAATTTACACCAGCAGACACAAACATTGGTGCTGGATAGAGAGAATAACTCAAGCGGGACAAAACTGGGTAATACAGGAAGCACCGATAGAATAAATAAGAGAAACGTAACTTTTAAAACATAGAAGCAATGAATGCATCAACAGAAATGGAGAAAACAAAGAGAGAAAGCTAATAAACTAATACCCTAAAACAGAGGTGGGCCAAAAAATGGCTAAAAGACGCTAAAGCAGAGAAAGATATAACTTTTTTTTTATAAATGCCACCCACATGTCCCCTCAGTGTTCCTGATATAGTATATACTTGATTACAGCCCTGTATCTTGTGAGACTAAGATCCCATACCATAAATAATTCCACTCTCCATCAGATTCTATTTAGCCATCATCAGAGGGTATTGGATGGAGGGAGTTGGAAGGCTGGCACCTTATTAAGAGAACCTAACACATTTAAAGAGCAGAATTTCTGACACCCACTGCCACTGTAATCACCACCACTACAATCACCACCACCATCTCCACCATCATGGTGCTACACACGTTTTCAATTTTGGTCGACCAGAGCTTTACAAATTGTAACTGCCTGACGCTTATCCACAGGGCAAATAAAAAAGCCGCTGATAAACAGTCAAAGATCAACTAATTCCTTCGTCTTTCAAGGTTATCTTGACTGGGTATGGAGGAGAAAAAAAATAAATCACTTCAGGACATGTTTTAAAAAATTAAATGTCCAAAATATGGGTGAAAAACACTCAGAAAACGTGTAACGTTTGCGAAATATCAAGGCTTTTCATTTCTTATACAGTATTAAATTTTTGTTCAGTTTGCCCCTTTAGAATTCAGCTTAGAGTGCAAGTTTGATGTCAGATTAATGTTAATAAGGCTATATGTGGTTTGTGGCATTTTATTGAGATGTTTCGCTCAACAGGAACTTTATCAATGGCGTTCTTCGTGGGCGAAACGTTTTAATAAAATGTCATAAACTATATATTTTCTTATTAACACTTTTTTGTATATTCTACCATTGACATACAAGACATGTTGTATGTAAATCATTCAGTTCTGTGACCTTGGTCATATTTCATTTGAAGTGACCAAGGTCCCAGGACCCAGTCATTTCCATTTAATGTCCTAAAGTAACTGCATCTTGTATCTTTCCTTTTCCTGTATTCACCGGGGGTAAACATAACACCGAGGATATCACCAGAATTATATATAAAACTTAAAACATCGGTGTCATACACAAGGCTAGCAAACCTCAGAATTAAGAATTCTTGAGAACTCTTTATACGACCTATGTTAGGCCAGTCATTAAGTGCTCGGTGCCAGGATTCTGTGATCACACCTAATCAAGCATGTGAATCTGGAAAATTTACAAAGGTTTGTAACCTAGGTATACCTGGAGAGGGGTTCGGGGGTCAACGCCCCCATCGGCCCGGTCTGTTACAGGCCTCATGGTGGACCAGGGCCTGATCAACCAGGTTGTTACTGTTAGCCGCACGTCCAGACCCTAGGTAGTACCAGACCTGAGATGAATGCGCTTTGAGGAGAGGATGAAGGAGCTGAACCTGACCACTTTGGCGGAGAGGACATACAAAATCTTAAGAGGAATTGGTAGGACAGATAAAAACAGACTCTTTGAATTAAGAGGATCAGGATCAAGGGGACACAGGCGGAAGATGAAGACAGGTTAGCCACCGAGGTGTGAGGAAATATTTCTTTAGTCTCAGGGTGGCTGAAAATTGAAACGATTTGGATGAGGCAGTGGTAGAGGCAGACTCAATCCTCCATAGCTTCAAGAGTAGATATGATAAGGCATAAGGGGCCAGAAATCAGTGATGTCGACCATGGTGGTCTAGGAGGCGGGGTCAGGAGCTAAGTCTCGATCCCCGCAAACACAATTCGGTGAGTACAACTTGTGAGTACACACACACACACACCTAGGTGAGTGCACACACTGTTTCCGTGTAATGTTCCAGCAAATCTCCATGAGGGATGCCTTACCAAGTTCGTCAGAGTGCACATTGAGACCAGAGGACACATACCCCAGAGATCCACACCCTCCACATGTGTCCCCATGATACTCCATCATACACACATGCTCACACCCTTTCATCTTGCTGCCATGCTCACACCCATTCATCACACAGACATGCTCACACTCACTCACGCATCACTTATAAGGCAGCACCAAGCTTTAATCCAGAAATTAAAATGGTTCCCCCTTAAACCATAATAACAAAATTATTATTGTGCATTTGTCTATTATTTTAGCCAGAGGGTTTAAAAATGAATTATCTCTAAAATATACCTTTGGAAAATTGTATCTTATGATAAAAATTATCTGGCAAATTAACATGGGCGACTATTTTATATTTTACTCCGAAACTAATTTATCTCAAATTTAATAAAATTCACTTATTTTACTACAATGTAAATGTATTTTATTAATGTTAGTATAAATTTACTTAATAAAGTTTAACATTTATGTCATATATTATCTTACGAGACTTGCCCAATTTCTGGTCATAATTGTAATTATGATTTTATAGGGTGGAGGGGTAAGCCAGCGGAAGGACTCGGTCAGAGGCCTTCCATTGGCTTGTCCTGTTTCCTGAAGAATCTTACCTAACCCTCGTAGTTTATATTTTCTGATGAGTAAATTTTTTTTTCATGTGCGAACACGCAGAGTTTATATCAGTATACATATAACCCCCGGTTTACGATCAGCTCCCAATGCGACCAATTATGTAAGTGTATTTATGTAAGTGCGTTTGTATGTGTATGTTTGGGGGTCTGAAATGGACTAATCTAATTCACAATATTCCTTATGGGAACAAATTCAGTCAGTACTGGCACCTGAAAATACTTCTGGAATGAAATAATATCGTAAACCGGGGGTCCACATATTCGAGTTTACTTGAATCCCAATAGACTCGTATACAGGATTAAGCATTTTTAACTTAATAGGTAACATGCAGTTTTAATGACCCTCGTGCAGTTTATAAGTTTTAAGTGCATCTAACTAGCCACTGTGGGGCTACTGCATAATGAACTAAAGTTAGATTTTTTCAGTCATACCATCCTGACCAAATAAGCTACGTCAGCAAAATGCGGATAAAAATGCACTATTTCTAATTATAGGCCTGAGGTGTCTGCTAGGCCCATATAGGGAACTGTGGCTGTGTAGCTAAATGGAATTGCAGTGAGGCCAATTGAACCTTAATTGTGGCCTCGTGTGTGACGGTGAGGATTATTTTAATTACAGTCTTCCTTATATGGTCAGCTGGAATGACGGCCAAATAGAAGAAAATCATAATTAGCATAGCTGGGCGAGCAAAGAATGAACTTCCGTGTTCCACAGGTACGTGTGTCTTGTTCAGTGTCTGGTCGTTTTTATCTGGCATCTGGTCGTTGCCGTCCAGCTTCTGGTGGTTCCTATCCATCGTCTGGTCGTTCCTGTCGTACCAGTGATCATGGATTAGCCTTAAATCATGTCCAGATTTGTCCAGGATGGTTGTTCATGGGCGTGTGAGTGTGGACAAGGTCAGTAGTCACGATGGAAGGTGAGTTTGTGTGAATCGTGAGGGCATTGATGGAGTGCTCTCAGATCGTGAGAGTATTGATGGAGTGTTCTGAGATCGTGAGGGTATTGATGGAGTGCTCTGAGATCGTGAGGGCATTGATGGAGTGCTCTGAGATCGTGAGGGTATTGATGTAGTGCTCTCAGATCGTGAGAGTATTGATGGAGTGCTCTGAGATCGTGAGGGTATTGATGTAGTGCTCTAAGATCGTGAGAGTATTGATGGAGTGCTCAGAGATCGTGAGAGTATTGATGGGGTGCTCAGAGATCGTGAGAGTATTGATGGAGTGCTCAGAGATCGTGAGAGTATTGATGGAGTGCTCAGAGATCGTGAGAGTATTGATGGAGTGCTCAGAGATCGTTGAGAGTAATTGATGGAGTGCTCAGAGATCGTGAGAGTATTGATGGAGTGCTCAGAGATCGTGAGAGTATTGATGGAGTGCTCTCAGATAAAGGTAGTTAGAAAGCCCAAAACAGTTGTCAAACAATCTCCAGCAAAACCTCTAATAATTCCAGACGATTAAACAACGACAATCCCAAACAAAAACACTAACAATCTTCAACAATGGACAACAACAATTCCCGCCACAAATCAGGAAATAACAAAGAAAAAACAGTTAAAGAAATAAAAGTGCCTAGAACACAGCTGTCTCTTCCTCCTCCTCCTCTTCTTCCTCCTCCTCTTCCTCCTCCTCCTCTTCTTCCTCCTCCTCTTCCTCCTCTTCCTCCTCCTCCTCCCCCTCTTCCAGACTACAAAAAACAGCAACTCAGTGTTCAACAATCAATGTCAAAAGTAGAAAAATAGAGGAAACACGAAGTTTTATCAATTTTTGTTTTCTGTGC